TTACCAGAAGCAAAATCAAAATGCTTTTGAGGTCGAAAAAAAGTGAAAACCTAATTAAGTTGTCTTCAAACTCAAATTTTGTCAATAAATTTAAGCTAATATATTTACAAATTGCAAATATTTTGAACAAAAACAACAACTTATTACATAAACTTTGAAAAACATAAAATACAAAGTCTTAAAGTTATGTTGACATTTGAAACCTCGTTGTTTCCAAAACAAAGAATACCCGAAGAAACCACAAACACTATATATTTAAAACCAAACATTGTAGGAATGCAATTTAAAGCAAATTTCCTAAGCTTTTGTTTATCACGACCACTTCTCTTTTGCCAATTTGATACCTATATTAAGTTCTATTTATAAAACATTAACCATTCGTTATAAAAACTCAAGTAGCTGAACTCTCAAATATATTTAGTCAGAATTCTGTTTATTGTGACAACTGAAAAATATTAATATTTCAGATAAACTTTCACCCCTATATTAAAAAAATCCTCAAATCCATACACTAAGAAGCCAGAGTAAACGGTGTAGAGACCAAAAGTAGACTAAGTCACGATGTAAACACCGAAAGAAGCCTGAGTCATAGTGTAGAGACCAGAAGAAGTCTGAGTCACGGTGTAGAGATCAGAAGAAGCCTGAGACACGGTGTAGATATCAGGAAAAGCTTAAGTCACGGTGAAGAGACAGGAAGACATCTAAGTCACGATGTAGAGATCAGAAGAAGCCTGATTCGCAGCGTAGAGACCAGAAGAAGCTTAAGTCACGGTACAGTGACCGGAAGATACCTAGGTCATGGTCTAGAGACCGAAAGGAGCCTAAGTTACGACGTAAAGACCGGAAGAAGCCTAATTCATGGTGCAGAGACCGGAAGGTACCTAAATTACGGTGTAGAGATCAAAATAAGACTAATTCACGGTGTAAAGACTGAAAGATGCCTAAGTCACTGTGTAGAGACCGGAAGAAGCCTAAATGACTGTGCAGAGACTGGATGGTGCTTAAGTCACGGTATAGAGACCGGAAGGTACCTAAGTCACACAGTGCTGAGACCGGAAGATACCTAAGTCACTGTGTAGAGACCGGAAGAAGCCTAAGTGACTGTGCAGAGACTGGAAGATAGCTTAAGTCACGGTGTAGAGACAGGAAGGTACCTAAGTCACGATGTAACGATCGAAAGAAGAATAGGTCACGGTGTAGAGACTGGATGATAACTAAGACAAAGTGTAGAGACAAAAATCACAATATCTCTAAAATGTCTTAGGCACAGTTCCAAACAAAAAAAAACGTAACCTGTAATCAAAGGTGGCTTGTATGTTTTCCAAAGATATTTATAAACCACATCTATAAACTTTAAACAATACGCATACCTTGTTGGAATTGTGTCTAAAGAAAAAAAAATATCCAATGTGACTTTTTATTTATTATTATTTCTTTTTGAATGAATATTCTAAAATAAGAAACAAAAACAGTATCAGTTGAGCTGCTACGTTATCAACCGGTTCTGGTAGTCTTGAGAACGTTGGTTTTGTTCTGCAGCCATTATCAAGAAGGGCGTTGTGGCCATCATATTTGTTGCGGGAATAAGAATAATATTGTTCCGCAGCAAGAGCGGTGAAAGTCCGAAGCTTTTCATATTCTGCGTGGTTTCTCCCACCTCACCAACTGGGACGCTTAATGTCCTCGGGCACTCGAGCAGTAGATGGATAAAAGTTTAATGACTTTTAGTGAAGTTATTCTTAGTAGATCGTCGCCTATCAAATATTCCTCTTAGTGGTTAATGATACACTTTGATCAAAACAACAAAAAATTCTGGTACCACCATTACAGTTTGTTTTTGTTTGTTTTTTTTTGCTAGACGAATGACATTTGATACGATGTTATATATAAAATATAGTAGTACTGATTTGAAAACTGTTATACATCTCAGGTGACTGAAGATTTATCAGGAAATAGTGTTTACGGAGATCTGAATCCTTTTATTAGTTTGAAAAAATCATAGAGAGCATTAAATTGGAGCGTTAGATTTCACATTGTTTCTAAAAATATAAGTTCAAATAGAAAATAGATCCGTTATGGTTAGAAAAAAGTGGTTTTATTAATCTCAAATATAGTTAACTAAATATGGAACCTATATTGTTCAATGCAGATTTTAAGCATCATGCACTGAAACAAATGTATTTATTCGCCTTTCAGATTTAATCGTACAATATTTATCGCGAATGTAAAAACACGTACAAGTATCATATTCATCATTCATATCCAAAGTTAGCGAGTTACATTCGCGATCTGTTAGCTTTCATAGCTTTCCAACTGGTTACTAATTGGCAATAAATTGCATGATGATTGCGTCCATAATTTTATCAGTCTAGCCTTTATAGTTTTGATACTGGTAATTAAATGTCACTGGATAAGCGTGATTATAAATTTTGTACGTCTTTATCTTAAATATTCTAGTTTTCGTAGTTTTTGACATTAGCAACAATGATTAGTTAACAAATGATAGGCGTAATGAGCAGTACTTGCATCGTTATTTTTAACAGTCTACCTTTCCTAATTTTGACACTGGTAATTAGCTGGCACTGGATAACGCATAACGATTCCTTAAAAGTTTAGATTTCGTAGTTTTGATATTGGCACTTAGCTGGTAATGGATAAGGCTTGACGTCCCTTGAGATGCATCTTTACCCTGAACACCGTAGTTTTCATAGTGTAGATATACTGCTTATAAACTCACACTGGATAGGGGCGATGATCCATGTCCTGCACCTTAACTCTTAGCAGTCTAGTTTTTATAGTTTCTGGCAATTACATGAAGCAGTAATGCCGTGATGATCCGTCTTTATCCTTAGCAACATAGCTCCCCCCCCTCCCTCTCTCTCTCTATATATATATATACTGATATTAACAATTAGCTGGCACTGGATAGGCCGTGAAGTCCCATGTGACAGGTTTCTACGTATTACAGGTTGGCTCCCAATATGTAAATCCGAAATTTAGATAATACTAGGTAGAATCGCGAAGTTAGTCACACACTGAACACCTACGCCAAACACCCAAACACAGCATTTTTGTACTAATTTTACACCAAAGAACCCTTAAAACACCCGGAGTTGGTAATGATAATAAAACAGATGAATCGCTACATTTAGTATGGTTAATGATATTAACACCCCTTAATACGAAGTAACAACGACATGAAAAAATCTTGACGACCACTTTGTGCGAAATAGCAACGACATGAGAAAATCTTGATAACCACTTTGTGCAAAATAACAACATGACGAAATCTTGATAACCACTTTGTGCGAAATAACAACGACATGAGAAAATCTTGATAACCACTTTGGGCGAAATAACAACGACATGACGAAATCTTGATAACCACTTTGGGCGAAATAACAATGACATGACGAAATCTTGATAACCACTTTGTGCGAAATAGCAACGACATGAGAAAATCTTGATAACCACTTTGGGCGAAATAACAATGACATGACGAAATCTTGATAACCACTTTGTGCAAAATAACAATGACATGACGAAATCTTAATAACTACTTTGTGTGAAATAATAACAACATGACGAAATCTTGATAAACACTTTGTGCGAAATAACAATGACATGACGAAATCTTGATAAACACTTTGTGCGAAATAACAACGAGATGACGAAATCTTGATATCCACTTTGAGCGAAATAACAACAACATGAGAAATTCTGGATAACCACTTTGTGGAAGAGGATATTCACAAAGAACAGGTTATCTGTCACACAAATATCTTTATGCCAACGAATAAAATAGCTGCCAAATTTCCGTGTTCTCTTGTTATTTGACACTTGTAAAATAAAACATTTGGGCACAAGTTTCTGCATAACGCCACAATTATTATGTCTAGATCTGTTGTCCCTAAAGTTATTCCAAAATTTGTCAGTAAGTCGAAAGTTACGTGTCGAGTGCACGTAGCTCCATTTCTGGATCTCTTCTAACAACCATGCACGAACAACATTCAGTAAACTATCTATGTTTGGTCAATTTTGTTTTTCAAACCCATGTGCTGAATTGATAACTCTCCTATTACACACAAAGGCTTATTTAGCAACTCCAATATTAAACATGTGCTCCAACTCCAATATTGAACACGTGTAATAAATCAAAACATGTACTGAATCAACAACTCTCACATGAAAATATAGTTGTTTTCTTTTAACTCAAAAACAACTATGATATTGAACACATGTTTTATTTGAAACACGTGTAAAAGACCAATAACGCATTTAGAGTCTAATATAATGCGAATATGCAATACTTTAAATCATGTATATGATATAACTTGTTCGGTACATGAAATAAAATAACGTATCGATATCATTCTTCTGAAGGTAACTATAGTTATCTTATTTTAACGTGTTGATATTAGACTAAGATATTCTCCGCTTATGTGCACTTACAAGAAACTGACACATTGTTTTCTGCCAAACATTTGTTATGACTTAACGATCTGTTTTTCATTGAGTTAATAGTTAATGTCAATACCACAGAGTTATACATAACTAAGAATACTTTTAATCTCAGTTTAATTATTTCTTGGTTTGATATCATCCAAATGTAACAATCACCTCATATTTCGCGTCGCTGATCAAAGCGAGGTACTGGTCTTATTACAAAGAAGTGCTCACCGGGCCAAGAATTGCCTTACAGGTAGAGCCAAGCATTTAGTAGACAGTCGTTTATTTGGAGAAACCGAGACATCTTTTAAAACTGGGTCATCAAAAGCGCTATCTGGTGGCCAGGTATGCTTCAGGCGAGAGCTTTCTCGTGTAGCAGTAACAGCTTTGGACCAATCAGTAAGCGAGTTCAAGGAAAGTGGGTCTAGAGCGGTGCACTACATTTCGGTCAGCGGCTAAGTATATTTAAGGCGAATGATTTCCCCAATCTTCACATTCGCTCCTAGCATCTAAAGAGAGGCACTCGAACAGCTTCTCCAGTAACTTCACTGTAAAAAGGATCCTGATCTGGTAAGTGTGGAAAGTGGAAAGTAAAAAAGAAGCAAATTGCAACAATTTAGCCTTACTTATGCCTTGCATACTTACAGAATACAGATACAAAATATAGTTAGTCTATTAAATATCAATATTTCATAAAGTGAGTTAAAACATTCTAATTTTCACTATAATTAGCTGAAATAACCCAGCACCACTTTCAAATTCCTCAAATTAAAAACATTTTTTTTTCCAACAGACTTTTATCTTGTGGTTCAGGCGCAAAATATATGTTAATTTGCATTTGTATATAAAGATTAAGTTAACCTATTTTAAGAAACATTTTGAAAGTTCAAACAAAGTATTTCTCTTTCCAGAAAGTTCAGCTAGCCTTATCATTATGAAGGCTAGATCCACAGGTCGCTGGCTTCTACCTGTACTTGCAGGATTAGTTTTGTTAACCGTCGTTCAGGCTGGCTCATATGGCTGGAAGAGACCGTTAAAAGTGGTCCACAAGGTCATCCACGTTCCCCACCCTGTGCCCGTCCCCAAACCTTACCCAGTCCATAAACCTTATCCTGTTCCCCACGTAATCCATGTTCCCCACAAGGTTCCTGTGCCCATCAAAGTTCCCATTGTGAAAACTATACCCAAGGTGGTGCCTATCCCTAAGATAGTACACATACCTAGGACTGTTCATGTTCCCCATCCTGTTCCAGTCAGGGTTCCTGTTCCAGTTCACAAGCCCGTCCCTTACCCTGTTTACAAGAAAGTACCCGTTCCACACGAGGTTCCTGTCCCTTACCCTGTCCATGTGCCCAAGCATGTTCCAGTTCCTGTTCACAAAATCGTCCACGTCCCTAAGCACGTTCCAGTCCCTGTAAAGACCCCTGTGTACAAGCAGGTGATCGTCAAGAAACCAGTTGAAGTGCCTGTCCCGTAAGTGTCATGTATTTTACACAGTAATTTATATATAAACTTGCATTTCTGTGACTAAGATTTGTAATCATTAGCTTTATTAAGCTTTTAGAACATACCAATTTACCTTGCTTCTGTGTCGTGACAGATAAGAAAATGTGAGAAATATATACAATGAAATAACTAAGAGTGAACGTGTTTCAGTGTTTAAGGACTCTGCTTTAGACAAGATCATAATATCCCATCATTAGAGCAAGTTAAAGCAATATCTTTTGTTTTTCTAGAATATGGGTTAAGAAGCCCAGTTATGGACATGGAGGTGGTGGCTATGGCGGTGGTGGCGGTTTCGGAGGCGGTGGTGGCGGCTTCGGAGGCGGTGGTGGCTATGGAGGTGGTGGCGGCTTCGGAGGCGGTGGTGGTTATGGAGGCGGTGGTGGCTATGGAGGCGGTGGTGGCGGCTTAGGAGGCGGTGGTGGTTATGGAGGCGGTGGTGGCTACGGAGGCGGTGGCGGTGGCGGCCATGGTGGTGGATGGGATTGGGATTGAAGACGAGTTTGTAGCTGTTATTCTAAGACGAAATGTATAACGTATTGTGAGTACGAAAGTCGTTCAATGTAAAAAAATCATTGCTAGAGTTTGGCTAATTTTTTCCCGTCATGGCGTTGTACATAGTTTCCTTTCTATTCATCCAGTCGACGTGCAGCATGTACAGTTACTCTCCTTTTACCCCCAGCTGGGTACATCAAAGAAATGTTAAACGTCGCCGATTTACAAACTTTTGTGTCGTCCTCTGCAGTCACTTTCCACCTGCCAAATGGCAATACAGTTACTTTGATTCCTTTTCTTTCATGTGATGTTTGGCTGGGCCGTCTGTGTACAGCACAGTGCATCTTTCTAAATAAAATTTTCAAGAACCACTTGTTTGTCTTTTAATTGCTGAAATAAATATATAATTCAGGAAAAAAGTTCTAGATTAGACATTTAAGAAATGACAATAATAAAAGAACAGCTTGTAAGATGGGGCTTTTACACAATTCAAGGACTTGTACTAGTAAACAAAATAGGTTTAGTAGCTCCGACTTCTTAGTCAGTTGTTCTTGACTGGCGTGAGTAAGGAGCTTTGTTTTTCAAAAGAACCAGAAAAAAAGGCTTTTCGTAATTATTTATATAAAGACAAAATTAATAACTAATTTCATGACTTTCATGGTAAGATAACTTGAATAAATACAATGTAATCACGGCATCTTTCAGATACTGAGTAATAGTTTATTAAGCAATTTCTCTTCGGAAGCACCAGAGACTTCTCAATCACATTTCTCTGATTGCGATACGAGTTGTAAAGAAAAACGTTTAGCAAATTAGATCTTTATCACACTAATCGGAGATTTATTTTTTCTTTATAATTGACAACATTATTTACAGAAACCGGACACACTTAACAAAGGTTGCTTGTCCCACATTTAAGTAGTTTCGTTGTAGATAACACTTGGTTTGCAGCACCAAATCTTGTTGGTCTCTTGTCAATCTGTGTACACTGGTTTCATATATTTACTTATACATTGATCATAAACAGGTAACAATTTAAAATAATTATATGGTTCTCTGTGTTTTTTAAAAGACCATTCTGTATATCTGTGTTAAAAAAATATTTCTGTCACAATTTCCTACCAAAATCAAAGAAGAACTATAATTTTGTCTAAAAGAACAAGAGAATTTTCAACAACTTTCCATGACTGATCTTAGAAGAACTAAATACCTCATAAACAACTGACATTGACTGAACAAGCAGATATTAAATACATGTAACACATAGTAATACTATGTAGGTGATATAATATCAGAGTAAAAATAACAAATAAAATCACGGGCTTTATTCCGGCTTCCAGTATAATGAATTTACCGTGGTGTAGTAGCATCTCAAAAATACAGTTAACTTTGGTATTTAACGAAAGGGCACTTCGGCAGCGGCATATAACAAATATAGCTAAAATGCTATTCTTCTCTTTTAAGAAAAGCAGAGTTTCACTTTCTAACCATATGATTGCAACGAATGGTTATTTAATAATTGTCACATTTTCTAAAGAACCAGATTGTTTTAAAGAAGTATATATAAGGTTTAAAGAAGTCGAAAACAGACAAATATAGCACTCTTCCAGAAAAGCAACGACAAAGATAAATAACTTTCTATGACGAATAAGGCTTGATTAAACAAATGGAATCGTGAGTGTTTCAGAAGAACTCGACAAGACTTCGTACGCAACTCCAAAACTGGAAAATCTTGGTAATTTTTGGAACATAGTGTAAATCACAAAAGAAAGTTACAATGACTATTTTAATACTCATATTAGCAAATTAGTAAAGGTTAACTGTTGATAGAGAGGATAAAAATATCGCACATTCATTATATACCATAAATGTTACACAACAGTTATTTGGTTATGTTGTTTAAACATTTCTTTTACATGTATATTTATTTCGAGTATAAGGATTAAACAGGTGAATGATCCCTGTCTAAGTGTGCAGAACAGTTTATACCTTTCAACGATATCTGTATTAATATGTTTTTTACAGAAAAAATGAGAGTTTATTAAACTATCAAACGTATTGTATTTTGTTGGTTGTTATTGACTGGGAAGCTTATCCCCCAGATCTCGGCAAACTAGTTGAGTTACAACATAAAAATGATTATAGTCAAACGCTATTCATATCATACTCTGGTACGAGTTAACGTATATTATAGTGATAAATTATGAGTAGAGGGTTAAATCAACTTAACAAGTACATTGAACCGATATTGTCCCTATTTTCTGTATGAAGGTATACCAGGCTCTTGCAAATGGGAATTTATCCTATAGTACCAAACTGCTTGTGGTTCCATGACTATATTGATTACAGAGCCTTTGATAACAGCCGAATTACATAGAAAATGTAAACAAAAGTACCATCATTATTGCAATTAATCCCACTAATTATTGAGTCTTCTGTGTGTTTTACATACGTAGAAAATGAGTGAGTTCAACCAATATTTTGGGTCGGTTCATTACACTGCTTGTTCCATCAGGCTAAAACAACATTATTCAACATAATGCATCATATGAACCGTGCCATTAATGAGAGGCATAAAAACAAGTGCTTAATTTAAGGGATAATAATATTCGGTCAAAGTGAAAATTTTCAACACAAACTATTATATCTTTCCTAAGTTCTTTCGTGCCCCTGCAGTGACCAGGACCATATAGTCAGTTCGTATTTTGGAGAAACACAATATTAATTATACCTCTCATTATCAGATTGTTAGTTTTTTTAATTTTTACCGGTAAAGAGCTCGTTAGTAACAAGTATTCCAGTGTGAGAAAAGTTCCAAATTTTTCTTCAGTTTTACAGGTATTTTTATCACGTTTAAAAGTTAACAATGAAATATAACAAAATGACCTTTTGTACGTGACGTGAAAAAGCAATACAGGCGTGTTACAACTTGATATGACACATAAATACTTTTCTTTAGAGTCTGTTAATAGAGTAGTATCTTGTTAATTTTGAAATTTAAAGGAAGAGACAAGACTGATACCTTTTATAGGTGAAGAGAAAGGTAACAACCCCTTGATACTTAAATATAGGGAATATCATATATATATATATATATACATATGGGAAAGATACCAACACCTTGGTACTTTAGGTATATGAGACGTAATAACATTTGGTGCTTTATATATATACATACAGGAAAGGTAACAACCCTTTGATACTTATATATATAGGGAATATCATATATACATACAGGAAAGGTAACAACCCCTTGATACTTAAATATAGGGAATATCATATATATATATATACATATGGGAAAGGTAACAGCACCTTGATACTTTATATATAGGGAATATCACATATATATATATATATATATATATATGAGAAAGGTAACAGCACCTTGATACTTTATATATATAGGGAATATCACACACACACACATATATATATATATGGGAAAGGTAACAGCACCTTGATACTTTATATATAGGGAATATCACGCACACACACACACATATATATATATATATATATGGGAAAGGTAACAGCACCTTGGTGCTTTATATATATAGGGAATATCACACACACACATATATATATATATATGGGAAAGGTAACAGCACCTTGGTGCTTTATGTATAGGAAATGAGACATACCAAAATGCTGATACTTTCTTTCTAATACCACATACGATCTATTCATTTTCACATTATGATTATTTAACCACTGCCTTACTGCAAGTACTGTGTGATTTTCAGCTGTTTAAATCATTATACAGAGGGAGTCAAGTACAGATCCATTATTAGTGTGTTAGAGGTATCATGATTGGATTGCCTGGCAAGCAACGTGAATGAGACAAAGCTTCGATAACTGTATTTTGACTGGATATAAATATAACATAATGCAATAGATGATTTATAATAAGGAATAAGAAAAAGGGCAGTTTCAGCTTTCTACATCTGTAGTGGTAGGCCTAACAAGACTAATGTTTATATGGGTATAACTCCTAGGCAGGTAACAGGTACGATAGTTACCACTTCTCCTGATGAAAATCTGTTTAGGGTTGGAAATGATTATCAGTTGTTTTATTATTTTGTGGACTCGTATTGTTCGTTATTTGTATATAGTTTATGTGGTAACTAGTTTTTTAAATTTGTTTGGACAAATGGAGATTTGTTTATGCAGTTTTTATTTAGATACCCTGTATTCGGTTCACAGTAGGAAGTGTTCTGGGCCGCTGTGGTAAATGTCCAGTGTGAACAAAGTGTGTCATTTTTGGTAATAGTTTAGGCTAATATGTTACAGGTGGCTGTTTTTGTGTCAACAAAATGGCGTAATTAACTTAGGCTTGTACAAGCTAAGTCTCTGTTTGTTCACTTATACAAGACAAGCTTGTAGCTTCGAAGAGGTTAGGGTGGGGAAATTGTTCACGAAGACATTGGTTTAATGGAATCTTTCCAGGTCACGAGTAAACTCTTTCTAAACTGTAATTCAAGCGATTGAGTACACCCCAGTCTTATTATCTAAATGCAGTAAAAGCTGGTTGTTAAAAAAGCTCAAAAGGGAAGTTGGGTACTGCCCTTCATGCTAATATTAGCAATAAACTGACAAACAATCATTATGTCGACCGTCAGAAACAAATTGATGAGAAAACAAATACTGCTCATTTTGCCTATCGCCAAAGAAAAAAAAAACTGTCAAGAAATCAGACTACCATATATCAGACTAAAGGCTAAAAACATACTGACCGAAAATGATAGTCTACGTATCCATCATGATGGTAACAAGAAACGTGACACAGATATGAACCACCACTTGTACCTGTATATATTATTAGATAATATATTGGCAAGCTACTCAACTATCATCCATCATGTTTATAATTACAAATAAAGCACTTCTAACCTATCATGCTGATTTTTAAAGTGTGCTTGTAACAAAATATACGCTGTTGATTATGTTTATGATAAACATTATAATTATATTACATCTTTCACAGGCTTAAAGCTCTA